ACACCCCCCCACCCCCCGAAAAAAGGAGATTGCATATTACCCGTGGATGCGAAAGTTTCAATTGCATAAACTTCGCCCTCTTCCATCTTAGTTTGCTCTCCTCCTTTCACAATCGGGACTGATTTGCCCGCATGAATTTGATACGGCCCAATGCTGTGGCCATTCAAATTGCGGACACTTTTAACTGCAAGAAATTAGAAATGCAAATTGACATACAACTACACAAAAAAAAACCTAAAAGATACGGAGTATTACACAAATGGAAAGCTTCATGTTTCCATTGAAAAGAGGAGCAGGGACACAAAATAAAAAGCAACTCCAAAACACCTTTATCCTAGTCTAATGAAAATATGATCATACTTTGGAAGTTTTTTCCATTAATTTCAACTTCATATGACTCCATGACCTCCTGGATGGCAGCACCAACATCACAAAGGCGAACATCAATACCTGCTTCCTGCAAAGATGGCGTACTGTTAGTGTCAATATACAATATTAAGTTTGCACATATGCCATGTGGTAAGTTACACAATTTGATCAGGATGTGTAGCATTCAAAGAAAGCCCCACCTTGATTCCTGTATTGGTGGCTTCACGTGAGGCTTCAAGCAGTGGATCAAACATGGGGTTGAAAGCCACTGTAAATGCACAGTCTACTATGTGACCTGCAAGGATAACAGGACTTAAAGTCTTAAACAATGTCAAAATACAAAGAATAAAATCATAAGAGCTGCTTCAAGCTCTTGCGCACATAAAAAAGACAGCAATGTTACCATCAATGTGTGTTCCGAAATCTAATTTCATGACATCATCATATTGAAGCACAGTTTTGTCTCCAGAATTTGGAGTCCAATGGGCAGCAACCCTGCAATACAGGAGTACAAGTGAGACTTAAGCGTAGCCTTGTTGCCATTCCTTCGAGGTGTAAGGACAAAAGCTACAATTATGCTGAAGGTAAATCAATGCTATGACAAAACCTAAAAATCAAGTAAATAAATGCAATTACCAATTCAGTGAACATCCAGTGGGGAAAGCAATTCCAGCTTGGAGTCCATTTTCTGATATCAGTTTACGAACTGTATTCTCCAAGGTTTCACATATGTCAACCATCAGCATCCCCGGCTTCAAATTTTGTTTAACATATTTCCGGACCTAAGAAATCAGGAATTTCATTTAAAAGAGAATAATCAATTGCATGTATAAAGATAGATCTACACGTGGAAACTTATTTATTCGGTGCAATAGCAACCACTATCCAAACAAGACTTTATTTAAAAAAAGTGAAGTAAAACCTGACGATGAACTTCGGCAGCTTGTCGAATCGAATTGTAAATTGGCTTTTCGAGGCGTTCCAATTCCTTTTTTTCTTCAGACGTAGTTCGCCACAAGTTACTGCACAGATTGATTATATAAAGGTCAACCAAGAACATCAAATTCTAAAAGATATGCATTTCATGCGTGATATAAAAATCAAATAACAAGTTGATAATGACAGCCACAAAAATCAATGCATATAAGAGTTCTTCAATTTCTATGGCTCTTTCGTTTAAGACTTGCCAACATGGAACAACGGAACTTCATTTCTTTTATACATGTTGGTTTACCTCACATGAGGAACAACCAAAAACAAATAGCTTTTCGTTTTAATTATAAGTGAACTCAAATTTATTTAAAGCTTATCCTCGATATTTCCTAGTATCCATGGTACATTTGTGTAAATCTCATTGTCTACTTTATATCACTATATTGGACTAGATCACTATATTAATTGATTGTTATACACTAGCATTCAAAGTAAACAATCATATGTACCCTTCACTCCAAATTATATAACATGTTTTGAGTGTTCATGAACCGTCAGCCAGTGGCTTTAGAATCCTCATCACACACTCTCTTAGTCCATTGCCATCCATGGGGTGTATCATATCAAATATGACGGAACAAGAAAATGACTAAATACTACACTATTTGCATGCACATACTCATCTTTGTATTGTTGAATTTCACCCTCCGGAAACTCGCCAGAAGGAAAAAGTTCTACTACTGGAATAGTTGGTGGATCAGTTTGTTGTGGTTGTTCCTTTTTCTTCCTGCATTCAAAAATCAAATGAATTGTTGTGAGAGAAAATTTGGACCTTTTGTAAATTATTTGGAGAGAAAAAAAGAGGTTGGCGAAAAAACATGCTTGAGAAAAAAGGTTAGGATCAGACGAACAACTCACTTGCTTCGATTCTTCTTCTTCTTTTTCTTGGCAGCTTCTGTTGATTTGCAATTCCAAAGATACGTGCATGAGAACCAACCACATAAAATGACATCAAGAGCACACAATGGAAGTAGAACAACAACAACAAAAGCCTTAGCACAATGACACTATTTTGCAAAAAAAAATGGGGGGGGGGGACACAAAATATCTGTATGATTGAATCCAGTAAAGAAAAATTTGCACTAAATAGGACTAAAACATAAGCCATTTTCCAATGTAGGACTTAATCTTTTTTATTCCCTAAATAGGACTTAATAATGTCTAGTGGGAGGAATAATGTCTAGTGATGATGAACATTTACTTGAATAATGACTAGTGGATAATGACCAATGGTCCTACACTGGAAAATAAAAACATATGGTCTTATTTTGAGAAAGTTATTATGTTGTAGTCCTATTTAGGTAAATTCCCCTCCAGTCAGATGCTTTCAACTTTGGGCCCGTTTGGCAACAATTTTATCCTTTAGCGTTTTCAAAATTAATCAACACTATTAAAAAATTATCCAAAAAGCTAAAGCTAATTAAAAATGTTGTTCCAAAACAAGCCTTTGTCTCTACATGCATGTTATCTTGCCATATGTTTCTTTATCACAATGCAGTGAAACAATGAAGGGAAAAAACCTAAGGTCAATTTAAACTTCACGCAACAATAGAGCTTAACAATCACTTATCCAGTAAAAACTCATGTCCACGAAACATCTGAAATATTGGTGTTTCACAAGTCTAAATTTAAACTTTTATGAAAAATAAATAAAAATATTGGATGAGATGGAAAGAATGATTGTCCCGACACTCAAACCAAATGCAAAATGTCTATACAAAGTGCGCTTGCTGAGTGGTTTCAAGAAATTGTAATTTCCTTTTCTCAATATTTTGAGAGTAGACAAGCTCAGTTTGATGGGAGACCTTACCTGCATTGAAAGAAAACAGCACTGTTTTTCTTCTGTTTTTGACAAATTATATAATTAGGGACATTCAAACAATAATAATGGGTATTCCCTTTATTCACTTAAAGCAAATCTAGTAATGGAATCTTAAAGATTCTATTCCGACTGACCAACACACACATATGTGCATCTCTCTCCCTCCCCGTCTCTCTCTCTCTGGTATTTACTCCAACTGTCCAGCACAGTTTAAATTCCACCACTCCAGTAGGACAGTTCTGTAATTTACTTAACTGTAGAGCAAGAAATGGTTTTTGCATGTGTTTATGTTTGTACTACTTTGGGAGATGAGAAAAATCAGCTCCCTAGCATCAGCTGAGAAAATTCAGTCGACGTACAGCCGATGGAATTGCAACCAACTAAATCAACAGAGTTGCGGCTGAGTAAGAGAAGATGAGAAGAATAACATGGTTCACAACAGAGAAAATAAGCTTAGTTGGTGTAGATGCATTCACAGTCAAACAATCAAGTTAACTCATCAAAGGATAACAAATACTGCTCCGTATAAAGATGCAGTCATCGTATGTAAAAACATAAAGAATTTAAGATTATCAATAGAACTGAATGAATACCTGTTGCCTCCTCCACAGTCAAAACATCAAGTTTCTCTTCAACATCTTTCTGATCTAAGGAAGAAGGCTCCGCAGCTGTTCCATTATCGCTAGATATCTCTGATTTTCCCTCTTCCATAGAGACACCAACGACCGGCTCCACCTTCTCCATTGCGGGCGACTGAATTCGCGGCTAGAGCAAAACCAGACGGTTGACCGGGTACGGTATCGAAGGTCGGCACGGCCGGAATACGATCGGAGGTGCGTTTTAATCGGTTTTTTCCGGAAGAACCGAAAGATTGAGCAGTGAAATGGATGCGTAGTAGCTGAGGGGAGATTCAGACGGCGGCGATGTGGAAGAAGGAAAAGAGATATGCGTCCGGTCACAGATGAAAGGGGGGAGGGGTGGGGGTTATGTGGCGCGTCTGTGAATCAACGGGTTGGCCGGGTCGGGTTTGTGGCGGCCCATTTTCAATAACTATTACGGAGTATAATTGTTTTTTAGTTTTTATACTCATCTAAACTCTTTAGTTGGATCATTGACTGTTTTTTTTTCATTAAAAAAAAGAAAATCACACAAAATAGAATACTACATACTCCGTACCTCTTATCTCTAACATAGGTAACATGTTATTATTCTCAAAATAAGACGATCTCGCCTAATATATCATTGTATATAGTATTTCATAATTTGTTTTTGAATTACATATCGATACTATATGTCCTATTTTATGGATAAAAGCATGAAAATACTACTTTAAAGGTTTTTTAGAATTAAATATTGATTTTTCTCTCTATATTTTGTTTTTATTTTAGTTTTTCTAGCTTCATTAAAATCAAAGTAATACTTATTTAAAGTTTCTTTAAACTAATAACTATATTACAATTATAGTATGTCTATACTTTCTCAACCTATTTAATCATCGAGAGTTATCGCTCCTAATGGTGGATATGATCCAGGAATATAAGGGCTTTTGTAACCATTGTTTTTCAGTTGCGCCGCACAAATCGCCCACTGCTGCAAGTTTTCTGCCGCGCTGCTCGCGTGAAGAACGATGCAAAGCCGGGTAGGAATCGCGGCCATTTTTGCGGCGTCCACCCACTGCATGCGGTCCACCGCGCCGGATTTGTTTTTTCTTCTTCTTCCTCATGCCCGATCCGTTTTCTTCTTCCTCCTCCTTAGCTTCTTGCCTTCTTCTTCCTCCATTTTTTTCAGTTTCAATTTTTTTTTTAAATTTTAAACTTTTTCTTAACGTATTCATTATGACATTTTTTATTTCATTTTTTTTAATTTCAATAATTAATATTTAATTAATGTTCATCTTTTTATTTATTTTTGTTAAATATGAATTTATTACTTTTATTTTAAGTATTATTATTCATCTTTTTTTCCTTAAAAAAAATTTGTATTAAATTTATATAAGTTTTCAATTAAAATATGATGAATAATATAAAAAACGGAAAAGCGGATTTTCAAAGCGATATCATTGCAGGATTTTAGGGCATGACAGAAAGTTAATTGAATGTTGATGTGACATGAGTTGGGTCGGGACAATTTAGGAATCATTGTAAATACTCTAAATGACCAGGGCGCGTGCCTCCGATAACACCAATGTGGATCCGCCAGTGTCGTCTCCATAGGGAATCGAACTCGATCTAGACCTTTCATTTGAGAGAAGAAGAATAATGATTTTAATTGTATTACAAGGTCTTTACTTCATATAAATTTTAATTATTAGTGGTGAATATCTTTATTTTGTGTCCTTAAGTGTCACTTCACATTGTTTAAGAGATCAAATATTTATTCTAGTTGTACCCACCAAATGACAAGTGGACTTTTTTTAATCATGAATGAAATACATTTTCTCAACTATTGTTATAAATTTATCATTTTAAAATACTTTGCATAATGCAAAATATGATCCAATACATGTTTTCACATAGAGTTTCATTTATATTGATTTCAATATCGGCCGAGATTACAACTCACTACGGTTGGTGTGTGATTCAAGTGTATTGAGGTAGGATCAACTTGTTTGCGATTACTGAGCTCAATACTAAATACTAGGGATTACTGTGAGTTCAAATTTATTCGGATAGAGCTTCAGCCTCATCCATTGTCCATCCCCTAATTTACCTATATTTCACTCATCTTCCTACCCATCCATCACATGCGAGCGAAACAGAGGAAGCGAATGAAAACGAGTGTTATAATAAATAAGGTTTTAATCATTAATTTCATGAAATGAAAAAATTATAAAACGCATAACACAAACAAATGATTAAAAAAATAATAGATACATGATGTTTGTGATATAATCATACAAAGAAATAATTTTCTAATATACTAATAAAGTTTTTATTAAATTGAGAGTTCACTGGGAAGTAGATTAAGTTTATATAATCAACAAAGATAATATTTTTAATTTCAATCTTTTCTTAAAGTAAATAGGAATAAGTCCGGTGATGGATGGAATGTCAAATTCTCCACACTAAAAGTTTACTCCCAATCAAATTAGGACACAATACCGGCCCAACGGGCCCGTTTCTTACAGCTAAACTCAATCGCCCAGATACTTGGGATTCAAGAACACACACTCTATAAATACACGTCAACCGGGAAATGAACACGGAGTCGAGAATCAATCTCCTATTCTCCATCGTCTTCTCCCTCCCCTCTCTCTACGGCCGTCTGATTGGATAGCAGAGATAGAGAGAGAAAGGTAAATTTCCCCATCGTCTTCTTCTCCCTGGGGCCAAACCCTAGAATCATCGTTGATCCGCTCAGAACAAGGACGCTACTGGAATAAAATTGCTGTAAAAAAAGTAAACATCACTAAAAAACTAAACACTGAGTTCGAAACATCTGGATATTATGGCTCAAGACGAGTCGATTCCATCATCATCCTTAGCGCTTGAAGCTGATGGAGATTTGCAGAAATCAATGGTTGAAAACCTAAGTTCATCAGTGAAGCCGTCTTTGTCGCAGCACGATCTCGGCAACCAGGTGGAGGCGTCCACGGCCACCGCTCCGCCGTCCGAGCAGTTGCCGGCATCTCTCTCTAGGATTCCCTCACTAAGCAAGTTGAACGCTGGAGCTCCGGCATTTGTCCCTAGAAGTGCGTCTACTCTGCCTGTCTCGTCTGGGACTTTGTCTTCTCCGATGCCATCTCTGGCTCCTCCAGCTTTGGCGTCTTCTTCAACATCGAATTTGCCTGGACTCATGATTCCTCATCGTGGCCAGGCGTTGCTACAAGTGTACACCAGACCTGGAGGTAGTCCTTTCGGCCCAATCTCTCCTCATGTGCTGCCTGTCCAGAGTCAATATCTCTATGGCCCTCAGCTTCCCGCCCAATACATGGCCGGGGGGTTTTTGGATCAGGCAAGGCAAGAGGTTAGTGGTCCTGGTAGTGCTACTGTAGTTCAAGCTCCCCCTCAGCAGGACCTGGATAAAGGGTTAAAAAATGGGAGATTATCAGCTGAAGCCTCTCAGAAGATTATTAACCAGGTATCTACACTGCATTGAATGATTATGCTGTTGGTTGAGCTCTCTCTATGTAACCAATGGACTAATATTTCACAATTCAGAGTGACTGTCTTTAATATTGAAATTATTGGGAGGAATTTGTAACGTATCAATAGCAGGAGTGATAGCAATATATGTCTATATTAACTTCCTTTTATTCATGCCTGCCATTCTCACCAGAGACACGAGTTACTTCGTCGTTAATGGTTTTCCCCCTCTTTTTTGCTTGTGTTCATTGCGATGCAACAAAGGAATCAGAAGATTAAAAATTACACCACATGTAACATGTTAATTACTTGGTCCGTCAAGGAGTCTCTCATTAAGACCAAGTACTATTAAGCCCTTCTACATAACACGGCACTTTTGTTCAACTGTTTCATATCCGTGCTTCGTAGCATTCAATGATTCTTATTTACTTTTGAATGATAAATATTACGTACAATGTTTTTATGGATGGGTTAGAGATAAGTCTTGCATAATAGCTGCTCATAACTTCAAAAGCATCGGCTCAAATTTAAGCAAACAATAAGTAGTAACAACAGCAATAAAAAAGCTTGATCCTAAGCAACCTGGGGTTGGCTAAATAGTAAGTGTTATCTTAATTTGATGCCTAACATAGTTGCAAATAGTATAGATTTCTAGATCTGCTGTCTAAGGCATCTAGTGTAGACATTTAATTTCAATTTACTGCAAGTGCAAACTAGTGACTTTCTTTCTTAATCTTCAAACACAGTTTTATGGGCTTCGTGATCATGTGTATAATTAAATTTTGTGGAACTGAGATTCTGCCTGACATTAAGTTTTATGCTGCCGGACTATTTACAGTTTTATTTTTAGAGCTTTCATGTTTGGTTTTCACCTCACTAATTTATTTGCCTACAGGTGGAGTATTATTTCAGCGATCTAAATCTGGCAACCACGGATCAGTTAATGAGGGTTATGAGCAAAGATCCTGAGGGATACGGTATGATATCTCATGTCCCGGATTTATACCTGACCTTGCCTGGTTGTTTGTTTTTCCACATTTTTGTTTTGTTTGTCCTAGACTTTGACCATTCTTACTGATGGCTAAGGTTAGGCAATTTTTTTGGTCAGTTACTCTACTACTATTACTACTACACACACAAGCAAAAGTTCTGATTTATTTCTTAGCAATGCATGGAGTTTGGTGATGGTTTTTTCTCACCTATTTGTAGCTGAAGATGAAATTTATCTTACTTCTGTAAGCACTTGTAATTGAATCCGTCATCCATAGATAGGCTGGTTTACATGCTCTAGTTCATTATTCTTTCACATATTTTGTCAAACAAAACCCACGGTTGAAATGTGTTTCACCAGTGGCATTTCTATGTAGGCCACTTGCATTATGTTGTTTGCTAATTGTTTCTTGATAAATTTTTCAAGGCTAAACAGACTATTTTGAGCTCTCTTTATCTTTGCTATGTAGTGCCGATAGCTGTTGTTTTGTCCTTCAAGAAAATTAAAGCTCTTCTCGGTAATCATGCCCAACTTGGTAAAATTCTTTGCAACTCGATAAAGCTTGTAAGTTTCTCTTTCTTACCTTGAAGATTGTTCCAAAACATTCATTTCTTTTCTTAGTACCCCACGTAGTTATAAGCTTGAAATTTGGGCCTTTCCTATTTCTATATACTAGTGCATGTATTACTATGTTGCTCAATTTGGCACCTCTGTTTTCTAGGTAGTTAGTGAAGATGGAAAAAGGGTTAGACGCCAACATCCTTTAACCGAAAAGGACATGGAAGAATTGCAAGTATGACCCTGCATTCTCACTCTTTTTTAAAAGGAAAGATATTAGCCATCATAAATCAAATTTATAGATCATACTTTTGATAAGAGTAAATTCCATAATTGGTCCTTTATAACCGGGAGGTTTCCATATTTAGTCCTCTATTATCAAATATTACCCTCGTAGTCCTTTTTTTAAGGGTGCCTTTCCACAAATGGTCCTTTTTTGATCTTCTGTCATGTTGGTGTTAATTTAAAGGCTAAATGTATAATTTGACATCAACATTATGTCTAGTGACGTGTTCTGATATTGGTTAAGCGGATAACACAAAAATAATGACTATGATTGTGGGCTTGGATTCTGACGAAAGACCACATTTGTAGACTATGGTTGTAGTAGAAAGGGACTGTAATTCACAAACGACGCAAACGGAACAGCCTTTGGAATTGTGTATGAAAAAAAAGATATATTATCATTGTGAAATTACATTTTTAGCCCTCAAATTAACACCAACATGATAGAAGATCAAAAAGGACTATTTGTGGAAAGATACCCATAAAAGAAGGACCACTAGGGTAATATTTGATAATAGAGGACTAAATAGGGAAACCCCCTGTTATAAAGGACCAATTATGGAATTTACTCTTTTGATAATTACTCATGATTTCTCTTTTCTCATTGAAAATTTCTGTTACTTAATTTCCAAGCCTCTTGACATTTTGGCATGGTTAATAATATGCTTACTTAAAGGATAAGTGGATAATGAGTCTTTTATGCATAGTAATAAAAAACTTTTGCTATCCTCGTAGTCTCGCATAGTTGTTGCTGAAAATTTGCCCGAGGACCATTGCCACCAGAACCTCATGAAGATTTTTTCAACTGTTGGAAGGTGAAGATATAGATCTGCTTATAATATGGTTTAGTCTGTAACTTTAGCCTAATTGGAAAAGCACACACCGAGTATTGATTCTTTAATTTTTTTACCTGCTTAACTGTACCAGTGTGAAGATGATCCGTACCTGTCAGCCTCAGACAACCAATGGTGGGTCGTCATCAGGATCAAGAACAGCAAAGTCTGATAATATGCTCCCCAACAACAAGGTAATGCTGTAGTTATTTACTGATGTAATTATAAAATGGAAAGTTCTCTCGAACCAGATAAACAGTACTCCTTGGAAAGGGGCCTTATGACATGATTCAGTTGAATTCAACAAACTGTTAATTATCATTTAGAGAATAAGTCAATCCAAGCTTGTTTCTCAATTATCATGATGAGCAAAGCTTGATTGTTCATCATTGGATTGACAATGCTCAAATTTTACTGCTACGAGTTAAATTCTTTCAGCTCAATTGGTGCTCCACCATTATTCTGGTTATTCAAAACTGTTAACCCATGGTGGATCAATTATGTGGAAATTATTAGAAGTTCTGAACTTATTGATCTTGTCACATCTGCTTACAATGTTGAATACTAGACATGCTTTATTTGCTAGCAAATAGTCAGGAAGGCAAAAAATGTCAATAGATGAACCTGAAATGGATGCATGAACTTAAAACTCATCGAAAATTAACTGTTTTTTTAAAACTATGGTTTTGGCAAAGCATTTACATTGATTTTGCTTGGAATATTTGCATCATTTCTGACGTGCCAGTTTTATATGCAGTTGCATGCATTTGTTGAATACGAAACTGCTGAATTGGCTGAGAAAGCGGTACATATTTTCTTTGTATCTCCTTCCACCCCTACACACACACATCCGTCCACTGTTTTTCTCATTTTAGACACCTTTTCATCACTTTAGTGAAAACTTCGTTTTTGCAGGTTGCTGAACTAAATGATGTTGGTGACTGGAGGAATGGCCTCAAAGTTCGTGTACTGAGAAGCTTCTTCAAGGAAGAAGATACATTTACACCTGAGAAGCAACTCCCGACAAAACATGCCGACTCTCAACTCAATGGGTTCACGGTAAGTGATGTTTGTACGATGTATGTTAACCGACAGTCTAGAGTATAGATAATCCGTACAGGTGGGGGTATATGGACTTTATCTAGCATAGAGTAATTGGTACTATAAAAAAGCAAAACCAAACATATCCCTATGTCCTACTGGGCGTAGGGTGAGATGTTTGCAAACCTTACCTCTATCTCTAGGAGTAGGGCACTGGGTTAAGGAAAATTTGGGAAGTGTTAGAAGATGTTAAAAGTTTTAAAAATTTAGGGCCAAGTTCATAATTCCAAATTGGGTTTTCTTTGCAATCATGATGAAATTGAGAAAAATGAGGATCAAATTGTTTTTGTTATGACTAGTTAAGGGATTGTTTGCCTTGTGTTGGTTGTTCATGTTTTTTTTATGAATATTATTTATTTATTTTGGATAGGGAGGAGAAGGAGGTGACAAGGACGGGGCAAAGAGAGGACGCAACCGTGGCAGGGGCAGAGGACGTCCAACCCCAAACAACCGCGGCTGCATTGGAGCTTCTTCCCAATCAAATGGTGGCAACCGTGGTGGCGGCGGCGGCAGTTGTTATAGTATGGCGGCACACCACACAAACTTACCTAACAATGCTGGTGAGCAGCATAAGCAGCAATCATCTGTGCCCCGAATGCCCGATGGGACTAGGGGATTTTCCTTGGGTCGCGGGAAACCAGTTGCTGTTAAAACTGCTTGAATCTCTTCTCTTTTTTTTTTTTTTATTTTTTTTTAAAAAGAAGGAAATCTCGCGGGTGTCTCAAACTGGGAATGGTGTCTTCTTCTTTTTTCTTTTTGTGCAGTATTTTTAGTCGGTGGGGAGGGACGGGTTCTGTATTTACATTTTAACACCAGCTAATACATACACCAAGTAAAAAAGTTGCTCCACTTTTTACCCAAACTTTTTTACTTTTTACCACTGTCCCTATTTTGTTTCTTCTTCTCCAGTTTGATAGGGCACAGAAATTATGAATTTGGAATGTGGGGATAATGCTTACAAAACGACTAGAATTGTTCTGGAAAACTTTTATTATGTACTTAAAATATGTATATATAAAAAAACAGTTTCAGGAAATATAAAAAAAGGTAGATTAAGAGGAAGGGTCTTCTTGCATCATCAGGCGGTCCATGATCAAGTTCACCACAGTGGGAGCATCAACAGTGACTGCCACTTTCACTGAGGGTTTGTCACACCATTCTGTCACTTCTGCAAACCTTTTTCCCCACACGACAGATTAAGTAAAAGTGAAGGTTATTAAAAAAAAACAAGAATTAAACTCGAGGTCCACCAAAATGGTTTTCATTTGTATACCAAGCTTTCATCGACACACTCGGACACATAATGTCTGTGCATATGCATAGGTATTGGGTGTCTCTGAATGCTTGGTGTACTCCTAACAATGCCAAAAAAAGACAATCATGCTAGGTATACCTCAAAGATGGTACCTCAACTTGCGCTATAAAGATTTACACTTACACTTTAATGGCTTATAGTGACACAAAATATTAGTAAGATCGTAAAATTTCACACTGACATTTTGTGTAAATGTAAGCCATGAGAGTGTAAGTGTATATCTTTGGGATACAAGTTGGGGTACATCTTGTGGGTAGAATACCTTTATTCTTCAAAAAATGTGAGAAACTACCGTTGCTTGGAAATGCATTAAAAAATTGAACAAAAACGATGTTTTCTTGATATTCAAATGTTAAAATTACTTTGTCCCTAAAAGAACTTGATTTTTTTTTCAGTTGTGCCTAGAAACAGTTCTTAAATTCTCAAATATACTATATATACAGTTGCATTTTTTCTTAAATTCTGAAAAAAAGCAAAAAAGAACTTTTAGGGAATCACCTTTTTTGTTTGTTGTAAAATAAGGTGAGGCCCCTAGTGATGCCCGCGGTTTGGACTCGAACTACGCCTTCCGTGTAGGTGAACAATGAAGGATCAATCGCAACAAGCATCGTCGTTGGATCATGAAGGTACACACCTATACATACACATTTACATATACATATACATAGTGTATATTTCACAACAAACAACCAAAAGAAAAAAACTACATACACGTGCATAACATTATTAACACGTGATGTTTTTCATATTGTCTCACAATTCAGGCTCTCACCTTTTATACCGTACGCATCGTTGTGATAATCAAAATACACGTCCGTAATCTTGTCTATGTACCTAGCAAACTTTGCATTTGACTTGGCCAACCGATCCCGATCCATTGCTGAAAAAACAAACAACTGATACCTTAATTAACTTTATCTTCATCATCAAATAACTTAGGTGTGAGTGTACATAGCATCCCCTCCTCTAACGGACCCAATCCATATTTAAAAAAAAGGAACACGATTAATTAAGTACCGGTAAGAACAACTTGATGTGTCACATTTATACCAACCGCCACAATATCAGCCCCACTTGTGAAGACTATATCTGCTGCATCGGGATCTCCAAAAATCTTTTTACAATTTGAAGAAGTTAAATAAATAAATCGCAAAAAAAAAAGAAGATATCGACTATCAAAGAATTAGGGAGGTTCAACCTACATTCGCTTCGGATGCTGGATTCACATTTCCATTCACTGCAAATGCACCACCAAGAACAACAATTTGGCCAACCTTTTTAGCAAACTCCGGTTCCTTTTGGATAGCCTGCCCCAACATGTTTGTAGATTCCATGAACATTGTTAATATGTATAATTATGATTATGTCTAACTTTGTAGCATTGTACTCCCCGAGTCCCCAAAGAACTTCACACTTTCCTTTTCTAGATGTCCCAAAAAAACTTTTCACTTCTACTTTTTTTCTTAAAAGTTAAGAAATGTGTGGCCTACAGAAAAATTTCACTCGCACACTTTTTCGATTTTTATAATTTTCACGCAAGTTCTTTTCGGGAAGGATGGGGTATATATATACTTGAGGAGTGAAGGGCAATTCAAGGAGTATAGAGACAAACCAGTGCAATGTTTGTCAAAGGGCCTAATGCCACAACGGTGACTTTTCCAGGGTAAAGATTGGTTTGGTTGATGAGAAACTCAGCTGCATTCTGCTCAATTGGCTTCCCTTTTGGTGCATCAAAGGTCTGGTTCCCCAGTCCATCGCTGCCATGGACGAAATCCGCAATTCGAAGCTTCGTACCGTTCTTCACATGTCAACCCACCAAAAATCATACACTAAGGATTTGTAAAGACAAAATGTTACAATAATTCTTCGAAAAAAGTGCACAGTTTACCCCTGAATTCTTTGAAAATTGCATGGTTTACCCCTGAACATTAAAAAGTGCACCAAATACCCTTGAATTCTTCTGAAATTGCACGGTTTACCCTTGAACAATAAAAATTGCACCAAGTACCCCTGAACTCTTCGAAAATTGTATTGTTTACTCCTGAACATTTAAATAAAGACGACAATTTTGGGTAAAGTTACATTGGAAAATTCACAAGGGCCAGATGATCATATTCGCAATTCTTGTGCGTGGAAGCAACGCACTCCCTATCTAATAGTTTAGGACCAACGATGCAACGGTTTAATTTGTTCAAGGGTATTTGGTGCATTTTTTAGTGTGTAGGGGTAAATCGTGCAATTTTCGAAGAGTTCGAGGGTAATCGGTGCACTTTTTAAAGTTCAGGGGTAAAACATGCAATTACTAAAGAGTACGGGGGTAAATCAACAACAACAACAACAACCCAGTTAAATCCCACAAGAGTAGGGTCTGGGGAGGGTGTGTGTACGCAGACCTTGCCCCTACTCGAAAGTAGAGAGGCTGTTTCCAAAGAGACCCCCGGCTCAACGTCGAAAGTACGGGGGTAAATCATGCACTTTATTCATAGTTCTTCTAAGTTGCTAAAATGTTACATATAATGAGAACCCACAGAACTTTTCTTTCAACATTTTTGATTTTTTACTTTTGGACAACTTAAGAACGAGTGCGTATAATATAACAACACGAACAGACCAAATGAAAGCAGAAACATACAGTAATTGTGACATGAGATCCTTCGGCCACCGGAATGTCTGTCCTTCCAGCTACTTCCAACTGCATCATGATCAACATCCCGAAATGTCAAAGCATACTATGCTCCTATACGAATGCATTGGAGATTGTGTCCGAAAATGTAACTTCAACCCAACGGATGACACCAAGTTTGACACGCCATCAGAGGCCATGAAACCAACCTTGGTGTCATCCGTGTATGACTATAGCATGCATGACCCTAGCTAGAAATGTGAGAGGATTAAGTTACCAAATGTAGGGCGTTTCTGGTGGCAAGAGAAGTGTAAACATTGCCATAAATGGTAGTGAGGCCAATCACTTTCACCTCTGGGGATTTCAGTGCCACAAATATTGCCATGGCATCATCTGCATACATGCCATACATACATACATACATATCAAATGAAAATGATGCACCGTGAAAGAAATGATCAAAATGCATATGATCTATCAACTAATTAAGTGGCTACTAAAGAACATAAAAGTATTGAAAAAACGCGGCGTCATTCTATTAACTAGGTTGCAATTTTTCGGGGCCGCCGCAAAATATGTACTAATTTCAACACAAAATGTGCATCGTGACAAACCAAAAAATGTACCAATCTCATCTCTCACATCGCCCACACTATATTCGTCCCAAAAGAATTTTCTACTTTCTATTTTCAGCAGTCTCAAAATAATCTTCACATTTTTATTCTCTTACTTTATTATATGCTCCAAAATTGCAAAAGCGTGGTGTTGGATAAAGAAGAGCAGGCAGACATGTTTTCTATAAAGAACTGTGCGATGCTAAAAAAGATAAAGAAATCAAAACAGGGAAGGAATGAAAAGGAGAAAGTTATTGAGGGAATAAAAGTAGTTACCGACGCCGGGATCGGTGTCAATGATGATTTTCTTGGGGTTGATGGCCATTTCGATCAGTCAAAAAAGTTGCAGATCCGAGTGATGAGGACGACGACGATGAATTTTGATGATTGGATAAGAAATGGAGTCAAGCGGTGGCAATTTTCATCAATAACAATACTAATGGAAAGCCATAAATAGAAAAAACCGTATGTGAATTCACTTATATGGTTAGATCAGAGGTTTACTATCACAGCCAATCCCAATTGTATGTGATTAGCTTAAAAATTTGTATTTCACTTGTATATTAAAAGTATGTACCAACATTTTGATGGTTCACACTATCATAAATTGTTGGTGCGTTAACAAAAATTAACACGGACACAAAGTGTTGGTGCGCTAACAAAAATTAGCATTACACCAACATAAAATGTTGGTGCATCCTTGCGGTGTACAAAATGAGATACATATTCTTGAGGTACAAATAGCTTTATCCTAAGAAAATACTCTTTAAATTCTAAGTTATCTAGTTCAAGTGGTTGAGAGGTGAGTGTCTAAAGAATAAAGCTGATATGGACTCTAAACAATGATGATTGAGTTTTTACAAGTACTAGAAACATATCCCACTTTGTATCAATTAATCATTTGGAGATAATAACTTGTCAGCCTATAATTTACTAGCAAATCTACATATGAGTTGGATTTCAATCTTTCTGTTAATAAAATAAATCCTAGAATATATATTTTGGCATGTGATTTCAAACTCCTGTCAATGACTATCAAGATCATATTGTACAATAGATCCGCTCATAAATGAACAAATGACACTAACATTATGTCATTGAGAAAGGCCCATGACTTTTATCAATTTGAATTTCAAGTAAATAACTATTTGTTCATATTATTTATCAAATCATATTTATATTATCTTTTCCTAAATAATCGTGGATCAATTATTCATATCTCATAAGTGTAACCCGTAGATATATAACTCGTAGTTTAGCCCATACTAGGGAAGGATGCACGACTCGATTCAAAAAGTAAGCCCGAACAACAATTGGAGTCGACTCTTATGTTACATAAATAAAGAGTTTATGTAACATTTTGTGAACATTATGTATGTTTCTCTGTCCATATCGAGCTCGGCTAACAATTAAAGTCGACTCTTATGCTATAGAAATGAAGAAACAGGAACCTAGTCTCAAGTGCTAAAAGTTGTTCGATCAACTTTGACCATAGACATGACGTGTTGCTTGACGCCTTGAGAAGTGACGCCGATATGCATACATATCGTATTAACCCAAAGATTACGTATGGCCAACCTAATTCGAAACTTCGAGCAAGGTCCATAAAATTATTAACGAGACGACGAGATGAGCCTCTTGCACCGTTTGGTGGTGTTGAGAATGGTAATTAAGTCCCACAAATCAATGATGGAGATGTTGAAAATATAAAAGGATACAAAGATGAGTTAATACTACCAATCCCATGTGCACAATGATCCAATACTACATGAATACGTGTCAATAGTGGTTGGCATTGAAACTACATTTTTCCTATAAATACTCATGTAAACCCTTATAGAGGAGGGTAAATTCTTAACTTCACGGCTACCTTCCGTACTAGTCATTCCCTTACACTCATATTAATTCTCCATCTGTCCCAAAAAAGAGTTATCGTTTTTTTGGGACGTAAAAAAAATCTTTTTTCTAATTTTGAAAATCTTTTTGTGGCTTACAATCTTTTCATTTCTTCTACATCATTTTCAATCATACAATTTTACTTTTTCAAAAATGTGTGCCAAACCAAATGAGGAGTCTTTTTTAAAACAGATGGAGTAATGTATAGCCTATGACTCTGTCAGTCATTCTGTATATTTCGGCAATTAGTTTAAAGATTCAATTCATTATTCAAGACCCCGTAAAATATTGTCACCTCGATCAAGGGTACAAGCATTTCTACTAATTTACGCCATCAAATGGAAACCATTATTAGATCAATGAAAATGGTGGATAAGAATTTATTAGCCATTTGCCATATCACACGAGGTGGATTGTTTACCTAATCCTTTCTTGTTTAGCAAAATATGGATATATAAGTGCAGTGGACACACATAAAAAAACATAGATGACAACTCTACACATCTTTCCATAGAAAAAAGGAAGAAAGTCTAAAGCTTTCTTTGAATTTGTCGAGTATATATGCATTGTTTTTTAGTTCACACATCGTAATCACACACATATATACGTGTGTGTGTTGTTTTGCCATTTTGTCTTCTTGAGGTTCCTTCCCACATTGGTATTCTATATATTTAGTTCATTTGCTTAAAATAGTTTAACCCAATAAATCTTCATTAATGGCCTTTACATGCAAGCTACTCCCCAAAGTGTAATAAATTATGAGTATACTATTAGGGCATGTTTGGATGACCATGATTTTAATTTAGACTTTGATTCTAGGCTTAGAATACAAAGTTTTTCTTAAAAAGTGACATATGAGACTATATTACTAGAATTGGAAGTCCTACCAATTTATAATGACATGTAAAAAATACCCTTAACATTATTTTGCACAGACCACATATTTTTATTGTCTGTGTGACACAAACAATAAAAATCTGTGTGGTCTGTGTGAAGCATGGGTCAGGATCACCCTTTTGGGTGGGGTCAGGATCACCCTATTGGGTTACCCTAGCACGGTCCAAAAGGAATTACAAACGTGACTTCACCAACTCATAATGCACTGTAATACGCTAGAGTTTTCTTAGGAAATATATATAGGGGCTTCTGTTTCTCTTTCTCTAGAATGGAGGGTCTTATTCCATATGTTTACCGGAGTATCAAGAGAGGCATAACTCGCCGCCGGTACGAGTGTCTCTCCTCCGGGGCGGCGGCGGCGGCAGACACCATCAACAACATACAGCAACGCTTCCTTCCAAATAATCAAACGATCAACACCCATTACTACAGTAATTATTATAGTGATGGGGAGGATATTGTTGGCGATGATCACCCGGAAGTCGGCCGCCGGAGGCAACAAATGTCGCACCGAGTGGAATATTCCGGTGGGTTTTCGCCGGAGCGTGCTGCTGCTGCTTCCTGCAAGTCCAAACAAATTGGGAGATTCAAGAGTCATAAGATGTTCTCTTGTGTGACCGGATCATAGTAATTACAAAGTAATTTTAAAAAAAAAGTACTGTAAGTTAAGTTTTTAGTTCTGGTACTATACTCCATATATTCTAAGCTCGGTTCTTCGCAAAGATCGGCAAACCGGGTGATGATTTTTTTTTTTTGAAGTTTGATCATGCAAAGATGATCATATGTATCACCTTGTAAGTAATCCTCCGTGGGTTAATAATGTACTGTATATACGAGTATAAGTAAATGAAATGAATAATTTCAATTCGATACTTGTATTTGAACATAATGATGGGAAAAACAAATAAGAATCAAATATAAATAGCTTTTAATATTCCTTACCATTTCAAATAGGAACATGTATCTATTTGATTCTAGTAAATTTTCAAATATTTCTCAATGCAATTATAAAAATAAAGACAGTACGGGGGCACAAATACTTATAGACTTATAGTGATATATGTGTGTAAGTAGTATCTAAAGGTAAATAGTTAATGAAATTAAAATAATTATAAGTTAAAAATATTTTTAAAATAATTTTTTTAAATAAACATGAGTCAGTGATTTCATTAGTAACCTAATCACAAGTTCTCACCCACGGTTGTCACTGTAGCACAACTCTCTTGTTTAAGTGTTAGGGGTAGGCTGCCTTTCCATTGGGAAAAAACAAGAACTGAGGTCAATTTATTGGATATCTAACTTCTTTAACACAAACAGGAATGTCCTGTAAAGTGAGATTATTATTCCAGCTCTTCAAGGCACAGGAGTTACATAATATAGCTCTCATTAGCACTGACATTAATTAATAAAAATAAGGTGATTAGCAAGAAAACTTACACGAGTACAATAAACAGGACTTACAGTATGGTCAAAGGGAGATCACGGACTAGGGGGATCCAACATTGTGGTGTCCTCTGACGAGCACATTGAAGGAAGGAGCCAACTGAAGAAGCCGAGACGGGTTTCTCCCCTTACTTTCTGCAACGAGTGGTCAACTACCATATCCCATAGATCCCCCACAGTCCACTTGTGGTTTATGATCCATTGCACCACCTGCATCTCCAAGCCGGAAGATATGATACAAAATCTAAAAGCACATTTGGAATGGTGATAAGCCCATGGTGCAGTGGTTTATGATCCATTGCACCCCTTACTTTCCAGGAATAGGAGAATTCCCAAGAACTCTGGTTCCAAACATGGGATAAGCCACCCCTCTGAGTGATGGTGTGGAGAAGCACCCCACCATGGTGTGATGTAAGCACACTATACCTTGCATTTTTGCAACAGACTGCTATGAGGGCTCGAAGTCTCGAACCAATGACCTCAAGGTCACATGGACAAGGCCCCCCTTCACCTTAACACTTAAGAATGAGTTATACATACATACCTGATTTAGCAACTGCAGTGCTTCTAAATCAAACGTGTAATATGAGATAAAAGGTCTCAAAGCCTGAAGAAAGAGAGGAAAGAGAACCAACACCCAAAACCAGACAATTAAATTCTTATACAACACTACGTATGTCACTTAATTTAATTAAACTAGAGCGATGAAGAAAATGCAGACATGCATAGCCTAGAGAATACCTGAGAAGCAGCAATCCACTGTATCATTGCTTTCAATTCAGGGTCTCCACCAAATGCACCACAACCCCAATTGCCAGTTGCAATACCAATTCCACTTTCTCTTTGAGTTTCTGAGAGCTGAACATTTCCACCCATGTGATTTCTTTTCAGCATGCTGCCAGAACTCCCTTCCCTTGCTTGAAGTGAAGATGAAGGGTGTCCAAGAGGCTACATGTAACAACAAAAACATATATCTACACAAATAAAAAGGCATAGAAATAGATAATTCTTGTACGGTGTAGTAATTGGGTAAGTACGGATTATTGTAAATTCTATAAACTGATGAGCATGGAATATTTTAGATAGTGTTCATGGACGACTATCTCACCGAGAAGTTATCTATTGACCTTACACTCAATTCTTTATCACCACCGTCATTCTGATATTCAAGGAATGAACCATCTTGAAAGAATTGTTGATGATGGTGATTGACTTGATCAGAAAATCCACAGAATGCCTTGTTAATCTCCCTGCACAAAAACCAAGTTGAGACCAGTGTTAAGGCAGTCCATTTTCTTAAGTTTTAAAACGATCTACTTGAATGGAAAAAAAATGTTTAGGTAACATAAATTATGATTTTTTAGGCAAAGCATCTAAATTCAAAATATCTGATCTTTTTTAACAAGATAACAACATGTTTTCGTATAAATCATTTTGAATACTGTATCGATATATAAATTGTCAGTATTATTCCAATATATTTATCCAGTTTGACTTTTTCAGTCAAACTCGATAAAGTTTGATCATGAATTAAATCGTATTGCATATTAATCTAACCAGATAATATTTTGAAATGTTTTTTAATGAAAAATCTTGGGAAATCATTTTTGTATTAATATGAATTGTAACTTCTATTTCAACTGAAAAGGGTCAAACTCGTAAAGTACACTGGGTTAGAGAGAGTAAAAACTTCAGAGTCCAAACCAAACTTACCGGAGAAGACATTCAGGAGTGCATTGACTCTTTCCAGGACTACACAATGCATCTATGGCAACAATCCTGGTCTTACGCCTTCCAAGATTATCAATTCCCTTTGTATCCACATAATTGCCACAAAACCGAAATGAAGAAGCATATCTGTATTTTTTTACAATACAATGTAGGAGTTTGCATAAATAGCGAGCTTAAGTACATGATCTGAATGTAGATTAAACAATACCAATCTTGTAATGAAAATTACTATAACAACTATTTTGACTCATCATCATCTCAATATATTTGCCATGCAAACGGAAACAGCCGGAAAGAACCTATGATGATGGTACTTTTGGGATTGCTGATTTCATTGCATAGGATTAGACCTAGGCAATTTTTGGGGAGGGGGGGGGTTGGGGGAGGAAACGATCCTTGGTGAGGAGGGAGAAATGTTGGTCCTCCTACCACTTGAGCATCCCCGCCTCTAACTAGTTTTAGAAAATTAATTGATACGGAGTATTACAAATTTGATGACACCATCCCCAACAGTAGGTATGGAGGTGCTTGAGTGCATGGTGGTGACGAGTGAGCCTAAGTTCCAAAACACACACACACAATGTCATCAGCTACTACTCAGTTAAATAGGTAAGAAAGATATAAGTTGCCCACAGTTATATAGTGTAAGTGAAACTATTCCAGAGCTAAAGTTAAATGGTATAAACTATGTACATACCCTGTATAATTTGAAAATCTTTCAGTACCAATAATTTCTATAGCCTCATTGTCTGCCATTGCGGGCAAGAAAAGCAAAGCAGCAATTAGTTCTGGATTGATCATGAAGCGAATTTCTTCCTACACAAAATGGTTGCAAAATAAAGCCTTCTATGACTTTTGAACAAATATTCATCGAAATACGAAAGTTGTAAGCCTCTTGACTCTTGAGCTTATCAGTAAAAAAGAAAATCACTAATGTAACATGAATCCAGAATTTCAGAAGAGAAGTTCAATAAAAATGAGCAATGCATTTTCTAATTTCTATCATCTATGATATATATCTTCTACGGTATTACTTTTAACAGTTGTCAGATTCGTTATTTGCATCAAGTCATTAAAGACAAAATTGTGATTCTATCCATGACATGACAACTCGAAGTACTACAGAAGCTACACAACCCACGATGGTTTACTAAAAGTCGGAAACAACGAATTTGATGGTTAAAATCATTCTACCAATGAGATATTAAAAAGGGTTATACCCAAAAATTATTCTAATGACACTAGCTTTGGTGCTTCCCATATGCATTAAGAACAACACAACCGTATGCATAAAATTATTCTTAGAAGTATTGATTAATAATTTAATACTGATCATAGTTTGTAAGGCGTCGCCTAGTCGATAAGACGCTGTCACTGGGACGCCTTGCCTGCTCGCCTCGCCTAGAAAACCTTAAGGCAACCAGGCGCTCGCCTAGGCGTCGCCTTTACTCGCCTTACCTCGCCTTAATTCGCCTTACCTCGCCTTGATGCCTTGGACCCCTTTAAAATTTGGGAAAAACCCATTTTTTAGTGCAGCCCATTTTCTTTTAGTGTAGCCTAATAGACTAAACTTGTCTTCTCTCTCTCTCTCTCTCTCTCTCTCGGTCTTCTCTGTCAAGCTTTCTTAAAATGTATAAGACCTATATATACATATATAAATATACACATATATATATACATATACATGCATACATACATACATATATATATATATGCATGCATACATACATATATGTATGTATGTATATGTATATGTATATATGTAGGTATGTATGTCGCCTAGACGTGCGCCTAGTTGCCTAGGCGATATGAAGGTACATTGGCACCTCGCCTCGCCTTGCCGCCTTACAAACTATGATACTGATAGAAAGATCCATGAATAATGTTTTATTGCCCGGCAATCCCCGGCATCTTCTCAAAGTATAAGTTACTATTCTATGGTAGAACCGTTGGTACATGGAATGCCGTACAATCATTCCTCACAAACCAGAAAGTGATTACTCACTAAATTGTAGTGGATATACAGTACTTCCCTACCTATGGACTATGGTTGAAGGATAGAATTTCCCGAACAACAATTATGACAAATAATTCAATAAAAGCCTTACAAACGGAACATACTTCTAAATAATTCCATTTGTATGCAGTAAACAAATAAAGCACAATGGAAAGTATTGACCTAGAGGAGTGCACTTAACAAACCTGGACACAACCTCTACTGAGAGCACCACCTCCTATATACTTGTTTGCAAAATCCACTTCAATAGCCTCCCTGGAATTATCTTCTATCAAGCCAGATTTGAAAACCTAAGAACCACCACAAACGTTGAGAAAATGTTACGACATTATTACATTAAAAGCAAGTAAGTTATGACTTATGATATCATGATCTCCTAGTCCTAACCTGCATTGCAAATTTACCATGTACCCCTACTATCGTATATACTTGAGAACGATATTTCAGAGATCGCATCTGTCGATTGCTTTATTTTTTATTTGCAGGAATAACTACTTATCATACCACCAGCTTTGCTAATTGGAATTATAAATAGATATATCAAAGCTACAGGTGACAACTGTACACTGCACAACAAAAAAATACTACGTAGATGATTGGTGGCTTGATGCCTAGTTGCTTACTCATAACAATTAGGACATGGTTTAAACTTTCACCTCTCAACTAATGAACTGGCCTCACAAAAAAGATTGGCTACATTCCTATTACAGAATTTGCATGATCCCAATTAACAGAGCTTTAGTCCAACCTTAATTTTTCAAAACTACAAATAATAGCTCTAAAGGGAAAGAGGTTCATAACTTACCTCAAATGGGCATAATGAGACAGTAGATTCACTCCAAAACGTACAATCATATTCTGTACGAAGAACTTTTCTCTCAAAAGACACATTGTTCATCAGTGATGATGAGCATATCCTCCCAAAATAATGAACAAGACACTTCAATTTATGTTCAAGCTTCTCATCATAAACATCATATAGATACCTACAGATTCATGTCTGACACAAATCAGATACTCTAGGAGACAAAACTAGGATATCAACTAACCATGAAAGATCTTAAATCACCATGTAATGACATTTATTAATCATGTAAACATTATGAATATTTCATTCCTCAACTATATGTGGATAATGTTATAAGAGTACGCATTGAATTTCAAGGATACTACTAGCCTAAAAAGAAAGCGTAAAATAAAAAAGAAAATCCAGTTAAATAAACGAGGCAAAGAGTAGATATGTCAACAGCCAAGATCCATAGGTGTGAGCCATAACTCCCACTTCCAAAACACCACCACTAATAAATTTGATGAAAATATTTCACTCCACGTTGCTACTGCTCGCCTAGAGAAAATTGTTTGCATATACTTAGCATCTACATGGTTTTAAAATTATACATCTCTATGACTTTTGGATGAATTAATAAAGAAAATGTGTATTCTTTAACGCAAAAAAAGGAAGAAAAGAAAAGCCCAAAAATGAGTGTACACACAACTAAACATGAAGATGTAAGAAGCCCTATTAAATATCGGGGCGGTTCCCATGACATTGTTCGGCAATGTCATGGGATGACTCGGGGGCGCTCCAGTGCCTCATTAGTAAAATTGACGGTTCTTACCCCCCTAACCCTACCCCCGGTAGACCCCCACACCCCGGACCGATCCGAACACCCCCCCCCCCTCAATTGCACCCCCCAAGTTAATTTTGACTTTGGAGTCAAAATTTGACTCCAAAGTCAAAATTAACTTGGGGGTGTAATTGAAGGGGGTGGGGGTTGTTCGGGTCTGGGCGAGCCGGCGAGGTGGGAGGCTACCGGGGGTTAGGGGATAGGAACCGTCAATTTTACGAACGGGACACCGGAGCGCTCCCGGGTAATCCCCATGTCATGGGAACCACTCCGATAAAATATAGTAACAATAAGTATGCACACAATATTAATAGAACACAAACTAACAGTATACAGCTGGTGAAACATACGCAAACAAGCGATCAAAGTTGATCAATGGAAGATGCTTGGCACCTCTATAACTTGTTGGAAACAAACAAAAGAAGGCACAAGCAATGAGAGCACCAATCAGCTCCTGAAATCTCGTACATTAAAAAGACACAATTAGTTTCATCATCAATTCGCCATTATCATTATCAGGATCCATTTCAATCAGCCATGAATGAATACTTAAACATTTTCAATTTGAATTTTCGGCAATCGAGCTACCTGACTTAGAAACACAACTCCAGAGTCTTGTGATTCCAGTAAACGAAGCCCAGTACTGACTCCACTGACAACCCCACCGTCAGCTTTCTGATAGTGATCCTCCAACAGCGAAGGTAATCTCAAAAGCAAATTTGCCAAACCCGGCAGCACATCTTCAAACCATTTAGACGCTTCAGCCCTAGAAATCAACTGTTCGCCGGCCCAGTTCGGACACTTTCTCATCAAACCAACGCAGGACAATGCAATAAAAACAGCTGAATGAAACAATTGATAAGCTTACGTCGTCGAAGAAGATTGAGTAGCCGTCTGAAGTGGATTCGGCTAGAGAGGACGCCGGAAGGCTGAGGGAATTGCGAATGTCGGAAATTGCAATGAAAAGGACTTCTCCCGTGTCAACGTTGCTGTGCCGCGGGCCGCGCGAGAGCGCTTTGAGGGCTTCGACGACGGGCGGTGGCCAGAAGAGCGATGATGATCGGAGAAGCAACGGCAAGTAGGGGAGGATTGACTTAAGGTCTTCTCTGTTCTCCATGGTTAGAGAATCTAGATGATGTCTGATGAACATGGATGCCATATAAGAGCATCCAAGTAGATGATATTTTACAGTATTTTAAACATTCACTTTTTTATACTCTCTTCAACCATATCTTCTATATAATACATTTTTATAATATTTTATTATTTTAAAGTATTTATATGTTTAATTTTTGGTTAAATTATAATCACATTTATGATGTGCATAATGTAACCAATCTATTAATAATATTTTTAGTATCATTTAAAACTAAATATTGAAATAATTATTTTAGCATTTGGTTTGCACCATCTTGTAAATATACAAGTTGGGAATTGTTTTTTCCACTATAGTGTTTTTTAATCGTTGGTTTACACTATCCATTGAAGTATCAAAAAATGAATAGTATATTGCATGTAGTGTAAATTTTATCATATACACTATGGGTTGGAGATGCTCTAAGGAGTACTTTTAACATCATTTGTGTATCAGAGTTTGCACTTTTGGGCTCTTGTTCCTGTCCCATTGACCAATAATGTCATCGGATAAACTAGGAATTGTACAATACCCTTCATAAAATTGACTATTTTTAATCTTTCTAATTTGCCGGCAACCTCTAAGTTTATTTGATTTTTGAATCAAAATTTTGACTCCAAAATCAAATAAACATGATGGGTGCAGATGAAGGGGATGGAGGATGGGTTCGGGTTGAGGCGACCTAGGGAAGTTTGTTGAGGGATTACGAAAGATAGGAATAATGAATTTTACGAACGAAACACTATAAGACTCTCAGGTCATGCGATGACATTGTCGGGTAATGTCACATGAATCGGAGTATATTTTTTTCATATAAACCAAATAATACGTGTAGGCCTTTTTTATGTGTATATTTTTAGGATAGTCTTTTTTTAATTTTCAATCATGTTGATGTTAATTTATGACCAAATGGTATAATTTTATATCAACCATGTCCAGTAATGCATTTTGATGTCAACTTGACGGACAGAACAATGATGTTGTAGATTAAGATTCTGACCAGAGATCTACATACACATATTAACAGCGACATCTTCCATTGACTGTAACAAAAAGAACAAATGATCGTAGTAAAAATATACTTTTAGCTTTCAATTTAACAATAACATGACAGAAGTTCAAAAAAAAATCTATTTGTCAAAAGGTATTAATGAAAGAATATATAGATGTAATATTTGATAATAGAATACTAAATATAAAAAATTTCAAATTATAAAAGACCAATGTGGAGACTAGCCATCCGAGCCTCTTTAAGGTGCTTAGCATACTTATATGACAACGCAATTGTTAAAAACCAAATACAGAACTTACTTATTTTGCACCCCTTGCATTACTAGATGAGTCATATTCATCACAAATTTATTTAAACCGCTCGGTTCCCATGACATTGGGAACCAATGTGACACGAGGGGCGTTCAGGTGCTCCGTTTGTAAAAGGGAGAAAAACCAAAATAGGACTAAAACATTGAAAATATACTAAAACAGAACTTTCATATTTTTATTCCCGAAATAGGACTTACATTACCAAACATGGTCATATACATTACCAAGAAAGTATAGTAATTTGCACATGTACACTGCCACATTACCACAAGGCAAAGTCACATTACCACAGTGCAAAGTCCTATTCTGGGAAAAAAACATGAAAGTCCTATTTTGGTACTTTTCTCTATGTTTTAGTCCTATTTAGGATGATTTCTATTCGTAAAATTGACGGTTCATACACCCTAACTCTCTCGATAAACCCTCATACCCTACCCCGACCCAATCACACCTCGCACCCCTTCAATTGCATCTCCAAATCTCCAAGTTAATTTTGAATTTGGAATAAAAAGATGAGTAATGCTAGGGGTACACCTTTTGGTGTACCCCAAATGTACACCACCCTCTCCATTACCACTTATTTTTATTTATTTATTTATTTATTATTTTACTTGTTAAATTATGTGGTGATGGAGGGGTGGTACATTTGGGGTATTAACCCCTAGCATTTTTGTAAAAAGATAGACCGAGCTCTTCACTGTTCTTTCAACGCTCCACAACATAGACAGAGCTACCTCCCTTGCCTAATTCCCACTCACCTTCCTTCCTTGACCCAGTAGACAATTCACGAACTGCGAGAAAGCTACCAGCCATGGCGGCGGCTGCTGCTTCTATTGCCGACTGCTATCGTCTCAACCCCCGTCAAACCTGCGCTGAAAAACCTATGCTTTTCTCTTTCTCTCGGAGCAGAATCGCGTGCTCGCCTCCCCATCCAAGAAATCCCTCGGCTGCTTCTTCTGCATTGTCATCTGTCCAATCTCGAGGTCCGTTTTCTCTCCTCAAAGTATTTCTTCAATTTGATTTTCTTTCTTCTTCTTTCGGAATCCGTTTCTCTGGTTTTGGGATCTATATCTGTTAGAGGCGATGGGAATTCATTCAGGGATTGGGTTTGCTGTTGAGAAGAAGGATTCGACCCGTTCAGGTTTTGCACTGACATCAGCGGTCCGTCATTTGTCTGGTTCTCTCACCCGCGCCGAGGGCCTCCGGTTTGCCGTGGTACTTAGTCCCTGAAACTTGCTTGCTATGCTCCTTTGTTCTTTCCCATTGGTTTCATAATTTTCGTCATTTGTTTAAAAAAGTTTCTATTAAAAAATATATTTTGAATGAAGGATAATGGTGTGCATTTCATATTCTTAATTGAATGGTTTTTAAAGAAATGTTTTATGAACTATACCATATTGACCTAATATGAATTAAGAAGTGTTGGCAATCATCACCTAGCTCAAACAGCCTTGAATAAGAGTTATAATTAAGATTTTCCAGGATGGGACTCAATGGTGTATTGTGAATTTTTAGCTAGTCTCTTTTTTCACAGTTAGTTCATTACTCTCCCCTATATGCTTTATATTAAAAATGTATGATGGTGCTAATTTAGGTTCTCGTTTGACATGTATGTGTTGACTTCTTATAAAATTGAGGTGGTCGCTCGTTTCAATGAAATCGTAACAAAGTCTCTTTTGGAGGGAGCATTGGAAACTTTCAAGAAATACTCTGTCAGAGAAGAAGATGTTGATGTATGTGCTTGTTCTTGCTACCCCACCCCCACCCTTTTCTTGTTTCCGTTTTTTCAGCTTATGGAATGAAATAGTCACTTTGATGTGTGTTCGTGCTACAATACTGTCATTATGTAAGGATGAAGAGTAGAGAAAAATCTACGGAGTATTTAACAATTATTGAGTATTTAATGGTGTACACTTGCCATCATAGTTTTTATGATTTGAATTCTCTGTTGGCATATTTTGTGCTTGAAGTGAATTGAATTATATGCAACTTCTTACATCTGGCATTGTTATACCCAGAACTGATTTTTCCATCAAAAAAATTCATTCATAGGTTTTGTGTGGTTCGTCTCGTTTCTTGACAATTCTACAGTTAGTGTGATGTGATTGCATAAAAAGAAAATGAAGTTTATACATATGGCATCAATGTGTTGCAGGTTGTATGGGTTCCTGGCTGTTTTGAATTAGGCGTGGTTGCAGGGAAGCTGGCAAAGTCCAAAAAGTATCAAGCAATCTTGTGCATTGGTGCTGTGGTAAGCAAAGCTCTCGTTTCCTTCGTCATATTTGTGTTCCGTTTCATTACATTTACCCTTGGGTCTACTCTGTCAATCATGTCATGTGTGTGTGTGTGTTGCTTACTTGCTTGTTACACGTGTTTGTATCTATGGTTGTGCAGATTAGAGGTGACACTAGTCATTATGATGTTGTTTGTAACTCAGCAGCATCGGGATTGCTTTCAACCAGTCTAAATTCAGGTGTGTATGCATGCAATTTTGTGGATCTCTATGCAGTTCTAGGCTGAGCATTGCCCAAATTTTGTGCACTTCTAATTACATTTGAAAACATGTTTTGGCAGATGTTCCTTGCATATTTGGTGTCTTGACATGTGAAAACATGGAACAGGTACATACTCAAATGGTTTTTCTTTCCTATCACAACATATGGCAACATAACAAACTTAGGTTGTATTCCCTCCGTCACAAAAACTCTTTCCCCTTTTGACTTTATAGAATTTAAGGGAGGGATATTTTTGTTTTGACTTTCCCAAATTACCCTTGATGTGATGGGTAAAAGTAGGATGTGGTGGTTAGATTAGTAGTGAATAGATATGATGTGATATGTATGTGGTAAAAGTGACTTTTTAATAGAATGTGGAAAGATTTTTTGGTACAGAAAAAAAAGTGAAAGGGGAAAAGCTTTTAGGGACAGAGGGAGCATTTGGTTTGCATTTGTTGGGCAATTTTGCTGATTTTAGAATCACAATCCCCATTTCTGTCTATTCACTTTGTATCCTCGCCAAAGTTGAGATGGTTGTTTCCTGGTTTCCAGTACTCCGCATGAGATTTTGGATTCTTTGATTCTATCAGAATGAGGTTATAGAAAAACTGCCTGCCCACCTTGTGTGTTCCTATTGACTGCAGGCAATTAATCGTGCCGGGGGCAAACATGGCAACAAGGGAGCTGAAACAGCTTTGACAGCGGTGAGTTAGTACTATACTCAGCAACACCTACCCCTCTTTCATTTGACCTAGTAGTTGACCTTACATCACGTGTTCGATAGAAAACTAGCACTGCTTTTTCCTGCATTTTTCTCGTTTTATTACTCGCTCGGGAGCTGGGAGAAGGTCTAAATGGGTTGCTGTTCTTGTTTGTTTTCAGATTGAGATGGCATCCCTCTTTGAGCATCACCTCAACACAATACAATAAGAAAGAAGGCTATGCCTGGCTGCTTGCATTACCAAAGAAAGTTGTTTTTTTTTTGCTGATGGGCATAAACTGTTATTATGTCTTTATGGAAATAGTGGAATAATTTCACCTGTACCAATTGTCTTCCCATAGCTAAAGAAACATTGGCAAATTCCTAAGGTCCATAGTGGACCTTCATGTAAGCCAAGTGAGCATTTGCTTAAGCAATTTTCAATTTTCAGAACTTCAAGCTTTTTTCAGGTCAGATTTTGGATTTGCATGGCATTCATACACTGTAAACCAAATGGTTCTCAACCAACATTCTTTTTTATTGCATTTCATGGCAATGCATATCATATGTAAAACCAAAGGTAAAAAACAAAATTTGCATTATTTATATAAGGTAGTATAAAGTTTATACACAAAAGAAGGTGCAGAACACCCAACAAATCTGATTATCAAAACAACCAATGCATGGCTGCAAAGCCAAAACAGTACACAATAATAAGCTTTCAATGTGTAGTAGTAATAAGCAATATTAACCTCCTCCTCTTCTTCTTCATCCTCATCATCATCATCTGCTTAGTGCTTACTTACACATAGTAGATCATCCCAACTTCAATGAGGCTAATGTGAGGAATGTTGAGCGCCACGGACGGGCCCCGGCAATTCTTCCTCAGAAACGAATAGGCGATATCAATCACATACTTCTTCAGAAACGGCGAAGACCTCCTCGCCTTCACGTAGGAGTGTCCCAATATGTAGGCCACCCCTGCTTCCTTTGCCTTAATCAGCTCCATCAGCTCCTCCCTAACCCCCACATCCACCCCGCCAGCCACCTCCCCCAATCTAAACCTCACACGCCGTTTCCTCACTTGCAAGTTCTCATCGTTGTAGGCAGACCTCAGACTCTGAAGGGTTGCAGACTTACTGCTGCTCTGCAGATAAGTCTCGTTCTCGTCGTCATCGCTGTCGTTCCGTACAACCATCAAAGTGGGGCCCACAGACTGCGGCGCAGCCTCGTTCGTTCTGCTGATGCTGCTTATAACAGCCATTCTCCCGTCAAAAGAAGAACTCTCGGAGCTCGAAAGATGAGGTTCGGTGGCTTCCATCTGTATGAACTCGGCTATGCTCTGTATCAGCTGGTCCTCAAAATCTCCATTGTTACTCTGTGTGTCCTTGTACCCGTACCTGATGATGCACCGGTACATCCGGTAGGGTCTCGGGCAAACCCGCCCGATCAGGAACCGTTCCTCGGGGGAAACGTAAGGCACGGGAACGTACTTCACGCACACAAAGACCAGTACGCTGTGGAACGCAGGAAGGTTCGTCACGAAGTGGGAGAATATTGAGGGGACTCCCGTTGCTAGTTCGGAATATATGAGGCCGATTCCCGGAACACGGACGATGCCGAGGGTGGGTCCCAGTCCGAGTAGCCATTTCAGAGGGACTTTGTTGTGGAGATCGTAGGTGTACTTCTTGCGGGTCCCGTAGTGCCAGACGAACATGACAAACAGGAACACTAGGGAGAGGACGAGGGATACCCACCCACCCCGAGGGATCTTAATGACCGACGCTGAAAGGTAGAGGAGTTCAATGAACCAAAAGAAGATGAGGAAAGCCGCAGCGACTAATGGGTTTCTTCCCCAGACGAGGACAATGATTAGTGACATGAGAAATGTGGTGATGAACATTACTGTGATGCAAGCAAGTCCTGAAATTAAAAGAGAAACACACATAATAAGCCATGAGAAGCAATATTGACAATGTGAAACCTACACCGAAATGATACTGACCATATGCATTTCCAATTAAAGTTACATCCTGGAAACCAATGGCCACTGACAGAGTAAGAATCATCAGTATCCAATTTATTTCGGGTATATAGATCTGGCCATAGATGTGCTTTGATGTGTGGACAATCTTGACCCTTGGGAAGCATCCAAGGGCATTGCATTGCTTGATGATAGAGAATGTGGCAGTGATAATTGACTGACTGGCCACAATAGCTGCAAGGGTAGCAATGGAAAATACAGGCCAATGTACAGCACCTGCAAAGAGAACAATTGGTCAGGTGAAGAGTTGATCAGACTAGCTAGCAGCCCATGATACGGTCTCATTGAGGTTTGAGAAATATACTAACCAGGGACTGAGGCGTAGAAACTATTTGAGACTGAAGCAATGTTTTTGGACAGAAAAGCAGCCTGGCCCATGTATTGTACCACTAAACAAGGATACACACCAAATACAAATGCAAGCTGAATGAAAATTAGAAGGAAAAGAAATCTGTTAGTAAAAGGAAGCTCCTAAAACCGTAACCAATGAACTAATATGCTCCAAATCCATGCAGAAATATTGGCTTGTATTAAAGAACTAATAAAGGGATTGTAATGATTTTATATTGCTGCATGGATTTGGATTTTCTGTGTCGTGTATTGTCAATTCTAAAGTTAGAATCAATAGTACTAGAAGTTCTAGTTATCTTGTTGAGAAATAATGAATTGGAAATCAGCCAGCTACACAGCGGAAGCCATAAGACTAGAGTATAATTAGATAGGATAGTGATTACTTAAGTATCTTGACAGGATCTACGTCAAGTACAAGAGCGTCATGTAATACTCCCTTAGTCCCAACAAAAGAGTCATGTTTGTAATTTTGATTTTAGTACTACATGCATGACTCTTTCAAAATTTTGGCATTACAATACAGATGTAGTCATTTGAAGAAGAAACATGATCAATATGGAAGTTGGAAATATCCGAAGTAATAGTTAAATTGGATAGATTATACCTATTCCTCATTTATCACCCTAGTTATCGATCTCATCCCAAATTCCCAATCCCATACCCAAAATAAATGAGGCCTGACCATATAATTCCTTAGAGCATCTCCAAGATGCTCTCTAAATTTAAAGAGGATTTTTTTAGAAAAATAAAGAGTAACACTTTGTTTGCCAACAATCCTAAACCCCCAACTCTAAAATCTGCCTTGAGAGGCATAGACGCTTGGCCCCTTGCAGCATAGTAGAAGAATCGTATTCCCACATGACACAACTCATACTTTCATAGTACTAACCGCAGCATACTTATACTTACCCTCATTGAGAGAGAATTAAAATGACCGAGATCTGCAAACATAGCTTCAGTCCCTGGTCCATGCAAAAAGAAAAGATAAAATGAATTTTTAAATCACTAAGTTCAAGGTTCCTGGCCTGAATGGTTTTTCTTAGACTAATTACCTGTTACAGAGAGGAGCACCCCTCCAAGTGAAATCCATCCATCTCTTCCAGTATCCCGAAAAAACTTGATGATATAATGGGGAGAAAGAGCCGATACAATTTTAGGATTCCAGACAATGGTATTGTACAACCCAAGGGAAAAGATCGATATTAACCATATTGCTACTATTGGTGCAAACAAGAAAGCTACTCTGTGGGTCCCAACATGCTGAAGAGCAAATAGACCAACCAATATAATGCAAGTAATCAGTAAGACTGCACCTATAAACACAAAATACTTCTGGTAACTAGATGAGTAAATGATATATGCACTGCATCAAAATGAAATTTATTAGAGATCAGAGAACAAACAGTTTAAGAGATTAGTTATACCCACCATTAGGCAGACTTTTTGCAGCATTTTGAATCCCCGAAACCGATGACAAAACTGCCATAAGAAAATGAATACTATAATGAGTTTACTCAAGCTCGAGTGGGTATAAAATCCACATAAAACAATTTTGGTCCTATAATTGATGAATCAGGTAGCCTTCATGTCATGAATGCCAGTTTAATGGATAAATGTGGGACAATTCTGTGTTGGCTTAACATACAACAAATATTAAAACTGTGCAATATCACTCTCTCATCTATTCATCTAAAGAAACTGGAAATCTCTTTGGTTCAAAAAAAAAACTTGAAATCTCATATATAAACTTGATAGTTGCAATAAAGATAATATTGACAGTTAAAATTGGATACCTGATATAGGAGGAGTGAGCACACCATCACCAATAACCATACTAGCCCCTAGCAACACAACAAGGAATAAGACTGTCCGTGCCTTTTTGTGTCTCTCTATAAATCGCTTCAATGGTAAACATGATGCAGGAAGCCTAGCGGAACCATATTTGTAAGCAGATAGCTCCTCATCAGCGGCTTGTTGATTGGGAAGTAGATTGAGCTTTGCATGTCTACATAGCAGAGAATAAAGAGCAAAGCTTCCACCTAGAAAAATAAATATAAGTGCAAGCAGTAAAAAACAAATTAGGTGGAAAAGCCGAAAAACAAAAAAAAAACAGAGAGAGGAGGGAAAAGTAGTTCCAAAATTAAAGAGAATCATGAGTTCTAGTCTAACACTCTAACACACCTTCACCATTGTCATCTGCACTCAGCACCACAACTACATACTTGAGCAAAGGCATCAGTGTCAGTGTCCAAAAGATCAATGAAAAGGCACCAAATATTGCATCTGGAGTCTGATGCTTCTGCAACTTGTCCACAAATATATTTTGATAGACATAAAGAGGTGATGTGCTCAAATCCCCGTATACCACTCCGAGACTTTGGTAAGCTAATAGCAGATCCCGTGAAATGTTTACCAATGAGACCTTCACATGTATATATAAATACAACTGTCATAACTCCACAAAGATATACCCACCCACCCACACCCCCCTCCCATTTCTTTTTACTTGACCCGTCTACTATGTAGAAGGTCAAACTTTATATTCTTTCTTTGTCTATTCTCTATTGTCGTTACTCATTTGATAAAATAATGTAATCATGTCACATCCTTGTTTTGTTATAATACTTGATATATTTTTTAAATATATAAATTTCATTTTTTTATTTTACACAAATTTTTTTAAAAATTGAATTAATAATAACTTGATCAAACATTGCAAACTAAAATGCGCCAAGTAGAAAGAAGCAGAGTGAGTGTGTGTGTGTGCGTGTGTATGCACACACACACACACACTCCATCTGTCTCCAAATAAATTTGACATTTTGACTTCATGGAGTTTAAGAAAAATGTTAAAGTGGTTGAAAATTAGTTGGAAGGGAGAAAACGGTTCACATATTTATTTCCTAAAAGGAAATATGGAGAAGTGTAAAGTTGATTTTTTTGGAGATGGAGGGAGTAAATATGTGTATGTGTCTACGCGCACACACACACACACACACTCCCTCCATTCCATAAAACATTACCTAATTTGACTTTTGAGGTGTTTAAGAAAAGTGTTGAGCATACATTGTAACATATGCATCTTCACCACATTCATCTTCTTATCAAATCTTTTTTTTATATCCCACCATCCAACAAGTCTGTATAATAAAACAGGGGGTCTTAGCACTTAGCTGTCCGATAGAACTATCTTTAAATCTTATAGACATTCATATAGTACTCATGTTGCTCCTTTCTATTTGAAGATTTTGAACCACATTATATTAATCCTATGGAAAACATTTTCGTCAAGATCTCCATTAATTCGCATAATAGATCCCAAGTACTTGAAATTATTTCCTTCCAATCCAATTTCACCGCCTATGTTCTGTTTTGCTTTGACTTGTCTAAAATCATGTGTCTCCTTAATACCAACCTAGCATTTATTGTATCTTCCTTACTTTCGTCTACTAACACAGTATCACCCGCAAATAACGTACTCCCTATGTCCCGCTTGATTCTTTAGATTGCCCATTTCACCCGTCCCATTAATTTCTTACAGTAACTTTTTTGGCAAAAAATGAAATCTCCATATTACCCTTATTTTGGAATTGACAAGCAAATCATCATTCATTTACTATTTGTACTAGTCATTACTTTATTATTTATACTTTTAGGGGTGAAAATGAAAAGTAACCAACAAATTTACATGCCTAAAACACCGTAAAACTTTCTCGGTCAAGAATCCAATGGGACAGAGGGATCACAAGATTCCATTATTCATATTCTTAGTTTACACATCCATAATGATTGAAAATAAGAACGAACTTGTTGATGATCATAAGTGCAACCGTACAGTGATAAGGAAATCTTGCGGGTTCTAACATCTGGATGATTAGATCAATATATTTCTGCCGTTCTGTGAAACACTATTCTTTGTCATAGACCACCGAAGTAATTCAGTTGGTACCTTATCATTAACTCTCTTCAAATCTACCCCGTATAAAAACCATATGTGGATCTTCATTACTTGCTTATAATATTCTATGAGTTGTCTCAATTTTCAAAAGATGGATCACCTTTGTTTTTTATCCCCAAGGCATGAACACAAATTGGTCCTCTGATATATTAATACATTTCCTCACTTTGTTCTTTCACTCTCACATAACTTCAGGGTAGCTTATAAGTTTTTACACAATCTTGTGGGTCTCCTTTTCTTCTACCAGTACATATACAAATTCACTAAAGTAACATCAATAGAAATTACTAATATCAGAGTCACTAAAATAATTCAACATCAATGAAAAACAAGTTCTCTTGAGTGTATTGCCATTTTGAAAGGTGTTTGTGGCAATGTGAACAACTTGCAGCAATATCAAATTGTAATCAATGCATACGACCAGAAAATGCTAAGAAAAGTTATAGAACTCACATGGTCGACAGGTTCCAAAGACAGCAGAGAAAAAAATATATAAAAATAAAAACATACCACCTTCGGATCTAGTTGCTTCTTTATAGTAACTGCACCCTGGCCTTCTTGTCCTCTTACATGGATTGAGCCCTCGCCCGCAGTTGTTGCAAGTGGAAATGGCTGTTCAGTGTCATCTTCTTCACGGTTGATGTCAGCTTGATGCATCTTTATTCTTTATTACCTGTCCAATAGACTATTAGTGATTTGATTCAAAAACACAACTAAGACTTGAAGCCGAAAAAATGTTACCTATGGCGATATGAGGAAAATGTGAGGAAGACTGATGACATTCAAATTATTCAAACTATTCACCTAGCATCCATTGAAGTATCACACAATTCAAACTATTCACCAAGAAATCCCAGTCCAATTAAACCCAATCCCAAATAAAAGGACTTCTGAGCTTCGAAATGCCAAAAATATGCACTTTCATGGACGGGGAGGGCAATCAAATGAAACCATCAAATTTGAGAGAACAGAGAGATCAGATTTAGATAACTGCAAACACTCAAGCTGAAGGCAAAACTAAAAGAACAGAAATAAATGGAAGAAATTTGAACAAATACACCCAAAACAAAAGCAATCCCGGCGAGCACCAACGAATCAGCAATCGAACCATAGAATAAGCGGATTTTTCAGACGCGATAATGAAATGTAAAATGGTACCCGGAACGAACTTCGTCGCAATGAATCGGCGGCGGCTCCTCAAAGCGGGTGGCGGCGACTGCGATTTTCCGCCAGATGTCTTCGCATCCTGTAGCTGTAGCTACCTTCGTGTCTGTACCGCGTGCAGGGAACAATTACTGTAATTATTACGTCTGGTCCGAGGGAAAAAAGTGTGGCGGGTCAGGTTGATTGCTGGTGGGTCGACCCGAAACCCAATTTCTGCAGCATGGGGGGTGTATTACTGTATTCTCCTCTGATTTTTTTTCATGTCAAAATTAAAAACTTTGCCATAAAAAATTAAAAAAAAACCTAGAGTTTTATCCCACATTCTCCTTTATGCGTGTACAAATTTGACTGATTTTAAATGAATGATATACATATTCAAGTCTTCATTATATGGAATAGATTCACAATGACCACTGAGAAAGATTAATTAATCTTATAATAACAAAGTTGACGAAGTAATAGATATAATAAAATAAATTGCCCCATAAAAACTTACACTAATTACATTAATATAGTAATCCAAAGCATCGATGTAGACATTAAACTTAATCTCTCAAGTCCCAATAACAAAGCTAGCCCCATAAAAACTTACACTAATGTTTACATTAATATACTCCGTAGTAATCTAGCATCAATGTTGGCATTAAACTTAATATATTACACTCTTCCTTCTAAAATTCTCCTCTCGTTTTGATTTACGAGATTTGGCTGATATTTTCAGTGTAATTTATTTTATTATAAATGAAAAAATTTAAAAATAAAAATTATATGTTTAAAAATTACACTAAAGACGTCAAAATAAAAATTAATGTCTTTTCATATTACGCACATGTTGCTTACATTTTATAATTATTCTAATATAGGGACTATTTATGCAATGGTTGTTTGACCACAAGGACTATTTGACAATTTTTAAAAGTTTGAAGACTGATACCACAAAAACTATATATGCATATAACTCTTAAAATAATGATGAACATTTCTTTTTATTTTTAATTTTTCATTTTTTTCAAAAAGATCAAAATTAAAATCATTTGAAAATTCACAAATAAAAAAATTGTCCATCTGATTTATGTGCACGAGCTTCCTAAAAATACATCATAGTAGATCTTAGGTATGTACTCCCTACAAATTAATCAACTCTAATGAAGTGGCAAATTTTTTTATTAGCACATGAGTGGCATATTGTCCACAGGACCAGAGAGTTGTACTCTAACAAACAATGCTCTAGTTAGAGCGTGAACAATGGTGATACAAAAATGAAATGCGACACGCTGACGTGAAGTATTTCAATCAATAAAAAATAATCCAATCAACGAGTGGCACGTGAGTAGAGTGGCATGTCTTGTAGTGACAAGTCATTGTTTTTATCACTTTTTTTCATATTTTTGCCATATTTGAATTATTAAAAATTATATTACCTATATATTTTTATCATGAAAAATATTTCTATTTACTCAAATAAATAATTTTTTTGTGTATTTTAATTATTAAAAATGTTTTTGTTACCTACTCCATATATTTTTGATGTGTTTTAATCATTAAAAATTACTCCCTTCGTCCCAAAAAGATTTACACCTTTTAAAAAAATTGTGTCCCACAATCTCCTACCCATTTCTATTAAAAAACCACTTTTACCCCTTACTTTTTCAAACCCTACCTATCACATCATACCTTTTTCCTAATAATCTACACATCACATCCTACTTTTACTCATCACATCAAGGGTATTTTTGGAAAGTCAACACAAAATTATCCCTCCCTTAATTTCAACTTTAGTCAAAATGAGTAACACTTTATGGGACGGAGAGAGTATCTTTTATTTATTTTATAAATAAAAGATGGAATGTCACGTACGCTCCTACCTCTCCATGCATGGTGAAATTGGACAGCCACGCGAGTCAAATTCATTTTTCATCTCATTTGTGCTAATGTGGCGTGGCAATGCAGCCAATATACTCGCAATTGTATTTGCTTTTAATAGCACCAGAACCAAGTTAAAAAATATAAACACTGATGTTTACATTTATGTAGTAATCTTGTCACATATAGTGATATTGACATCTTGGTAGTTACTCGTCTTGTCTAATGTAACTTTGGATTAAAGGCCAATTTATATTGCATGTCCAATAGTCACAAAATTCATTCACTATTATTATTCATTTTTTACACCACATTTAATAAAAAAAATATAATCATGTGATATCCTGGAGCACTGGAGCATCCCGATTCCAAGTCATCCAATGACATTGATTTTCAATATCATGAGAACCAAGGGATTTATATAAATGAGATTTAAACATATCATTTTTTTTAATTTTTCCAATTTCATTTAATTTATTTCTGTTCCTTTCAGTTTCCTCTTTTTTTTCATTTTCTTTCGGTTCTTTCAAATTTTCATGTTTCTTTTATTTTTTTCTAAGAGGCTCTCAATCAATTCAAAAAGCGAGTGACACCTGTCACCGTTGCCTCGCAACTGAACCAATCCTGACTTTAATTACGCCGTAAATTATTAGGCCCCTCCAACTGATCTTCCTTTGCTCTGCATTTCCTCACTGCGTCTTCACCGCACTCTGTCCGGACATCTCATTTCCGCCATCTCCGACCGATCATCTGTCTTCAGGTAAACAAATCAATACCAATTAGTTTTGATGTGCTTTGATTTTGACCGATCGTCCCCAAATCCTCATCCCTTTGGTGCTGGATTTTCTGTTTTGCTCTCCTTTTTTTTGAATAATGCTGATGTGATCTGATCCGCGTTGACTTGATCGATCCATCTTGTTTCCATAGCATAAATCGCGTCCCCTTTGTGCTTGGCCAGTTAGCTCATCCTCTCAAATCGCATATCCCTGCATTGATGATTTCTGACCCTAAATTTAGTTTAGTACTGCGTCTGCTCATTTTGTTAGATGATGCGATTTTGGATCATATGTGTTGTACGCGCATTCATTCATGCTAGCTTGTTTGTCTGGTAATTATGCTGCCATGGATCGATTATTATTTCTAATCAAGATTGTTTATGGTTTGAACTCAATCAATTTATTTCAATCTATTATGAATGTGTAATTAGTTGATTATTCATCTAATCCCAGCTAGGGAGAAGGTATGTCGTCGTCTGAAAACCCTGAGATTGTGGAGAGGGGCGTCAATGACAAGGAAGACAAGAATGAAGAGAAGGGTGGGTTCATAGACAAGGTGAAGGATTTTATCCATGACATAGGTGAGAAGATAGAGGAGACGATAGGGTTTGGAAAACCAACTGCTGATGTTGCTGGGATTCATATTCCGCATATCAATCTTGAAAAGGCTGAAATAGTGGTTGATGTTCTGGTGAAGAATCCAAATCCTGTTCCCATCCCTCTTGTTGACATAAACTACTTAATTGAGAGTGATGGGAGGAAGCTGATTTCTGGGCTTATCCCAGATGCTGGAACTATCCACGCACATGGTTCGGAAACTATCAAGATACCGGTCAACCTGATTTATGATGACATTAAGAGTACATATAAGGACATACAGCCTGGAAGCATAATCCCATACAGGATTAAGGTGGACCTCATAGTAGACGTGCCTGTCTTCGGCAGGTTAACTCTTCCTCTGGAGAAAACTGGTGAAATTCCCATTCCTTACAAGCCAGATATCGATCTTGAGAGGATCCGGTTTGAGAGGTTCTCTTTTGAGGAAACAGTTGCTGTTCTTCATTTGAAACTAGAAAACATGAATGACTTTGATCTGGGCCTCAAATCACTTGACTATGATCTTTGGCTGTCTGATGTGAACATTGGGGGTGCTGAACTTGACAAGTCTGCCGACATTAAGAAAAAGGGAACTACCTACATTGACCTTCCTGTCACCTTCAGGCCCAAGGACTTTGGCTCAGCTCTATGGGACATGATAAGGGGTCGAGGAACGGGCTACACAATGAAAGGACACATCAACGTGGATACACCCTTTGGAGCAATGAAGTTACCCATCAACAAGGAGGGCGGTACCACCCGTCTCAAGAAGAACAAAGAAGATGGAGGCGATGATGATGATGATGAGGTAAATATCAACCATTTTGTAATTCTAAGGCTATTTTTGCTGCTCCGATGATCGTAGGGAGAGAAATATTAGCAAGGAAAACAGTTTTCTATGTTTGGTTTCACGGTTTTACCTTTGTATATACACTACATATGTTGGAACAATTTTTTAAAAAGGAATTCTAAGTGTGGCTTAATTTGAATTTTGCCGTCTTTTTCAAATAGAAAAATTTAAATAAAATAAGTTCGAACATAAATTTTTTAAAAAATGATTTATCTAGTTTAAAGCAATCTTTTAAACAGTTTTTTATGTTTGGTTTCACGGTTTTGCCTATGAAAATATGTTTGAACAATTTTTTTTTAAAGAGTTCAAAATTTGGCTTAAATTCAAATTTTGTAGTCGCTTTAAAATAGAAAAGTTCAAATAAAATAAGTTTGAACATAAAGCAATCTTTTATCCACACACATTTTCTTTCCTGCCGAATTCTATATTTCCTCTGCAGCATCTTTGTCTAGCATTTCTCACGTTCCAAATGGACCTAAATGTGTTTTGTGTGTTATCTTTGGTTGCATTAAGTTTCTCAATATGTAAATTGAGCGGACCCGTGTATAATTCTGGACTTTATTAAAAAAAATTGATGTGCCACTAGACAATTTTATATACACGAGTTCTAGGATGTGTCAGGTAACAACTACTGTTTCCTTCATTTTGGTTAAACATCCAATATCATTTTCACTGTTTCATACATGAATAATCGATGCTCCGCTCACGGGTTCTCCTTTAGAAAAATAGCAACAACAACCTAATAAATCCCACATCCCACAAGTGGGGTCTGAGAAGGGTAGATATAAGTTGGCCTTACCCCTATCAAAAGGTAGAAATGCTGTATCAAAGACCCTTGGCTAATAAACCAACCTAGAAAGAAAAGAAGAATAGGAGATGGTAGTGGGGGGGGGGGATATAGAATCATAGAGGCAAGTTTTTTTAACGGAGTTGTAGAAAAATAACACTCACAATAAAGCAAAACACCTATTTTGTTCATTAAAAATAGGACATAAACAACTGTTTTGTCAAAAAAGCTCAAAGCTTTATTAACCATATAGTACAAGATTATTTGAAATGTCGAAAAGTATTTATTGTTGTTTGAACATTTAACTAAACAACAAACCCAGGTGGAATCCGCCCCCGTGCCTCCCAAAATTATATATCTATTTAAATATCTTGTCATACTCGAATACGGATTTAGAAGCATCCAAATGGGAACCACCTCTCATTTGTATATCATTCAATAACGACGTACTTGATTAGATTGCAGCTCTAAGGGGAACTTGCAACTAGCTGTTTGGCGGGATTGTAATCGGTTTCAAGGGCAACATAGTCTGTGTTCATCTGTGTTTTTATGTCCAATCTGTTTGATAATTATGATCAACGTGGACCATACTGTTTCTTTCACAAGCTGGCATATATTGGCTCCTATATTTTGGGCTCATACCCATTTTTATTCAAAAACTTTGTGTTCGAACTTGTATTTTGTAGGATTGAAGCATTGCTCTGCAATGATCCGGAGAAGAAACTGTTTCTTTACTGGCGGGTGATTCTGAGCCCAATAATTTGAGGAATTTGAACTACGGCCCAAATTTCCTCGACACCGTCTCGGGTATGTTTTAGGAGTGACTTCGGAATTGTGTTTCATTTGCCACTCTTTATTGTGAAATACTGTAATGTTTCATAAGTTCAGCTATGTTTTTGTTCAATCCATGCCGAGGTATGTTTGTGCCTTGTGGTTGTGCTCAGTATGAGGGTAGATATTCAGGTGGTCACTTGGTGTGGACTATGGAGTGTCTTTACAAATTACAACTGGGGTTGGTTATGTAAAATGTTTTATTTTTCTCATTATTAAGAGACTTAAAAGAAGTTAGATATCATGCAGACCTTGTTTGGGGATAGCGTTTTCAGGTCACCATTATAGTTTTGGATAATTCTTTTTAATGGTACAAAATAACATTGAAATTATTACTCTGAGTGTCCTAAATTAAGTTGCATGTTTATTATTCACAAAGACAAATTTCATTCACTTTTATTCACAATTTTTGTTACTCATTTGGCAAAACAATATAGTCATGTCACTTCTTGTTTCGAAAAATTTTTGATGTAATTTTTTAAAATGTAGAGTTTATTTTTTTTAATTCCGCTCCAATTCTCTAATAAATTGTATTGAAAATAACTTTAGCCAAACAACGTATGCCGAGACACACGATTTAAATTGAGACAGAGAGTAAAATTAAATGCAGTAAAAATTAAACATTTTCAGGGCACCGTTATGAACAAAATAAGCATTTCTTTACTACTTAAATAAGTATCTATTTTTCAAATACAAAAATTAAAAAAATTATGTAAGAATGTCTACAAAAATGAAAAAATTTATGTGAGAATGTCCAAAATAATCATAACTTTACTTGTCTTTAAAAAATAATCTCACATTTTACTGTAATGCATAATAATTCTAACTCTACTGAAATTTGTGAGTTTTGGGCCCCCATTAATTTGTTAATGGCTGGTTAGCGTAACGATCTATTTTGCGCAACAAAATGAAATTTGAGATTATTTTAAGTGAATTTATGTTTTTTTTTGAAATTTTTATTTAAATTTTTAAAATAACTTTCTACATCAATTTCCTTTTCCTTTTTTAAATATTATTCTTATACGATAAAAAATAAATATAAAAATATCAAAAATGATAAAAATAACCAAAATCATACAAAATTAATGAAATAAATAAAGTAACCAATAAAAATTAAACTAAAATTGAAGAGAAACAAAATAAAAATATAATGAGTGGAGTGTTCTAACATTTTATGCATGACAGAGTATATTTTTTGAAAGAACATGTGATGTTAGGATTATTCATAATAATTTTTCCTAAAAATAAGAAGTAATACATTAATGCTCTGCATAGTGTGTAAAATATTAAAACCCACCACTCCATATATTTTTATTTTATTTTTTAACAGTTTCAAGTTAATTTCTATTTATTACTATTTTTTATTAACTTTGTATGGTTCTAATTATTTTTCTCATTTTATTTATTTTTTATATCTATTTTTAATTTTTTCCAAAGTTAGACTAATCTTTAAAAAAACAGAAATGATGGAGTTAGAAAGTAATTTTAAAAATTTAAACTAAAATTTCCAAAAAAATTAAAATATGAAAATTCATTGAAAAAAATCTCAACTTCCATTTTGTTACGCAAAACAGGTTGTTTTCGTTAATTTGCCGTTAGTAACTTAACGGCGACCCAAAATTCGTAAATTTCAGTAAAGTTGAGATTATTATACATCACGATGAAAAGTGAAATTAAGATAAAATCAAGATTATTCTGGATAATTTTTATTAAAAATAAACATTCATTCATATAATTTAAAATAAAAACAAGTTGATCGGAGTAAATAAACTAAGGGGGTGTTTGTTTTTTCTGCAGGAAAAGGTCTGCAGTCTGCGGACCACTACTGTAGACATCTGCAGGAGAAGTGGTGGACCAAAGGTCTGCGGTCTTCAAGAAGAAGACTGTTTGTTTTTTAATGTCAGTAGATTGCTATATAAATTACATATGGTAGTGTACGGTGGTGGTGTATGGACGATTGTGGTGGTGGTGGAGGGTGGTGGTGGATGTTGACGACGGTGGTGGTGGACGGTGGTGGTGGTGGCGG